ACTGCTCGTGGTTATATATGAGCTACTGCTTTTCGGGTCTTCTTTTTAAGAGCAACAATAGACTGCATTTTTCATAAATATACATAGCGCAAGTATCCCATGTTGGTTTTGATCCTGCAAGATCTAAAAGTATCATATTCTTTTATTATGGAATTCAAAGATTATTTTTTGATACGTTACCATGGTAACTGGTTTCCTATTTTCATTTTACATTAATAAAAGGCTAAATATTATAAGCACTCATAAGTATGTCCTATTAAGCCTTGATGCTGTATTACAAGAGGTGGTGTGTTTCTGTAAAAATATGAGGCTTAGAATGAATCCTTTGTTTTAAGTCCTGAATCACCATAGCTTTTAGGTCTGCTTTTCTGTCCAAATTAATGTAGTTAAAGACAGTATCTATTAAGAACAATACATCTGTATTAGTTTTAAAGGAAGGTAAAAGAAAAATTGCCTATAGCTATAAGTATCTTATACTGAGATCTCAATGTTCAGACCTTGATGAGTGTTTAAGATTCTCCAGTAACTGCCTCCGAGTCTGTAAACCTGCACATTGCAAACCTTGTGGTGCTTATAGAAAGGTATAAAGGACAGCAGAAGTATTAATAGCTACAACTCAGTTCCTCCAGGGTGGAGTAAAAGAGGCAATAACTATTGATTATTCCATCAGGCAGGGAATCTTTATAAGCATTTGCAAGTTCTCAGGTCCTCCAGGCTGAGAGAATGCGAGTAGATGCAGGAGGGAAATGGGACTCTGGCAAGATTTTACAAATAGCAATAAAGTTCTGGTGAGGATGGAAACTACTGTACCTGTGGTTAGAGTCACCTGAACACGTGCAACCTATGGTCATGGTTTGCTCTTTTCTCCATTTTTTGAAAGGAGTGAACATTTTATAGGAGTACAACCCTCAGTATACAATGCAATGCAGAGCTCTTGGAGCAGACTTCCTAAGGATTATAAGAGAAGAGGATAGAACCTTCCATGTTGCCATCTGAATGACAGCATTACCTCTTGGCATTGTGGGAAAAACATAGCAGGTGTAGGTAGAACTGGCAAGAAATTTTCCAGAAAATCTGATTTTCCTTAAAAATGTTCATTTGTGTAGTTTACTTATTTGATTTCAACTTTCAGAGGAAAGTAATCCTCACTTCCATGCTGGAGTATCCATGAAACTGTGGTGTGCAAGAGAAACGGAGAAAGGAAAACATACCAGTAGCTATTTAGTCATCTAGGAAAATCAATGTGAAACTGAGATTCAAGAAGACTGAATTAAACTGCCACGTACAGTAACGCACTGGCAATTCTAAAGTAGAGATCTGGTTCTTTTGGTTTTACCATGAAAGTCCATTAGTTTCATCATGAAGCAAAACAGAAACTATTCGAAGTCTTGGAGCATTATATCCAATGACATCTGGACAGGCTAGACAGCTGGGCGAAGGCAAACCTCATGAATTTCAATAAGAACAAGTGTAGCATCCTGCATCTGGGGAGGAATGACACCAGGAACCAGCACAGATTAGGGGATGTCCTGCTGAAAAATGAAGAAGGACCTTGGAGTCCTAGTGGACAGTGAGTTGTCCATGGGACAGCAACGTGCCCTTGTGGCCAAGAGGGCCAATGGGATCCTGGGGTGCATTAAGAAAAGTGTGTCAAGCAGGTCTAGGGAAGTTCTTCTGCCCCTCTCCCCTGCCCTGGTGAGTCCACACCTGGAATATTGCATCCAGTTTTGGGCTCCGCAATTCAAGAGAGACAGGGACCTACTGGAGAGAGGCCAACGGAAAGCGACAAGGATGATTAAGGGACTTGAACATATCGGCTATGAAGTGAGGCTGAGAGAACTGGGGCTGTTTAGCCTTGAAAAGAGATTGCTTAGAGGGGACCTTATTAACATATACGAATATCTAAGGGGTGGGCATCAAGGGGAAGGTGCCAGTCTGTTCACTGTGGTGCCCAGTAATATGACAAGGAATAATGGTTATAAGCTAGAATGTAGGAAGATCCACTTCAACATGAGGAGAAACTTCTTTACTGTGAGGGTGACAGAGCACTGGCACAGGCTGCCCAGAGAGGTTGTAGAGTCTCTTTCTCTGGAAATTTTCAAAACTTGCCTGGACGCTTTTCTGTGTGGCCTGCCCTCGGTGATCCTGCTTTGGTGGAGGGGTTGGACTAGATGATCTCTAGAGCTCCCTTCCAACCCCTAACATTCTGTGATTCTGTGATTTTATGATTCTGTGATTACAGAAAAAGATGATTGCATCTGCAGCTGTAAATACAAGGCATCTCATGGCTTCCTCACACATTGAGATGGGCAATGAGCAATTTGACTTGAGAACAGACATGCTAGAACTAAGCCATGTGTTGCAGATACAGAATTAATTTATAATTTGACCACGCACTTAATTCAAAATATGAGAAGATTAGACAGAATATTCAGTTTGTATTGCAGTGCATATGCAAGCATTACAATATATGTACCATATCCGAAAGAATGTGCCTAAGTCATGTAAGGAAAGAAAGATGAGGTCTTTAGCTTCCAATTTTAGAGAGGGATTCAGAATTTGAAATTTACCCAGTTACACTTTTCTAGGCAAGTTGACCAAAGACGATGACAGAAGTAGAGAATCACGAGGATAACTGTTGTTGGACCTCCCGTGAGATTTTGCAGTCATCTCTGCTGAATATGACTGCTGAATATCAGTATTTAAAACAAACTGTGCCACACTAACCTTTAATATCATAGAGTCATTGAAAATTTAGATTGAGAATGAGCTCAGCAGGTCATCTGGTCCAGCTCTCCACTCAAAGCAGAGCTTGCCTCTGCATTTTATGTAACTTGTATTTTTGTCTGTTTGACTGCTAGTAATCCTAGATGGCTTCATAAAAAAGTACCGAAGAAACAGTAAGCTGTAGGCACTCATCTAGTATGCCAGCTTCTTCCTTAGGCCATGTCTAGTAATAACATAGCCTTGATTTGCCAAAGTGTTTTATGAAGAAGATACAGTTTCTGTCAATAGACTTTAGAAGTGAAAAATTCCTCAGGAGAAAGGATGGAGATCAAACATGTGATGCCTCTGCTCTTAGGAATGCTCCTAGGAGCTCAGGGACTCGCTGGAATCCCTGTGATTCTTCAGAGTTTGAGGATGCTGCTGCCTCCCCAGGGGTCAGATATTCCATGGGGAATAAATTCAGTATGTTTATGTACAATCCAATGCCTGAGTGCTTCAACCATACCATCCCTGAAGTGCATTAATAATAATATGCATAACGAACTAATTTTCGCAAATATGAAATTTCCAGAAATAAATAGCAAAGTAAGTTGAGGTTAGTTTTAAATGTTGAGGTGAAAATCGAATTGGAATCAGACAGCTGAAAAATAAAATGAAAATTGGATTGGACTCAGACACGATGAGGGAAGTGTCTTACAGATTTATCAAAACATATTCCTGATGTTAGCTACTGAAATATTAGCTTCCCAGGCTCATCCAGTCTTTGGCATAGACATTCAGGCTTCCTGTGAGGAAGCAGCCCAGATGACCTAAGGCACCGTTATGCTCCATGTCTCCACTGACAGCAAGGAGTTTGGACAACCCTGAAGACCATCCAGTGCGTTGGCGAAGCTGAGCACTGGCCAGTAGGAATCACTGAGAGCATGGGAGTCTTGTCGTTGTCACTGAGAGAACCTTTCACCCCTATTGTGCTTTTTGTCACGGTGAACTTGCCATCAGATCTAGCTATAGAGTTGGATTCAATGAGAGATTAAAGACAGCTGCATTTGGGGCAATGCAAGGGAGATGTTGTCCTTTGCATATCTGCTAGCGTCAAATGGATATCTGAGACATCCCACAGACATGTGTGTGACCAACTGAATTGAACAGGCAGGCAGCTGAATAGCTCTCTTGCTTCCATCATTGATGAGATCTTTATTGACTGCAATAGTTTATACACATGGCAGAAATATAGACGATTATATTTAGTTTTCCTAATCTCACGATGAGTCTCACACAAAATGATTCAAGAATTCAGGATTAAACTGCAGATGTCTGAATAAGGCATCAAAAGGTAGATGAAATGGATTTTATGTTAGCTGACCTGAAGGGATGTCTGAATCACTACTGCACAATATGGGAGCCACGATACAGTTTTTAAGGTCATGGATTAATAACCAAGGAAGAGACAGCATTTATTGCACAATACCATAATGTTCAACTTCTGTCCAGGAAGTGGAAGATCTGGTTTCAATCCATTTCCCAGTGTCAAACAGTCTTGAAATCAAACCCTGAGAGTATGATGCAGTCACTACAGTATTAATAAAGAATTGATTGATTAAGATATTTCAAACACTCAGAAACTGAGGAGGAGCTAAAATTCTTCCATTTCCAAATGGAGTTTTGAAACTTACTTAGCAATTTCAGTCAAAGTAGAGATAACATGACCACAATAAATTGGATCAGTAGGAGATTAGGTCAAATTCATGTGTTTCCTTGCTAGCATCTCAGCTTCTGCTAGCTAAGCCAAGTCACTTCACAGCATGTATGAAATACTGTCTGTTGGAGTTTATGGAGTTCTGTCATCCAGAGATGATAACAGAGGCAATAACTAAATATAAGCACCTTTGCGGTTTGACAGCCTGGTTAACAGGTGGTTTGAATCACTGAGTTCCTTAAATGTAAGCATTTATCAAGTCCACTTACAATACTGAAACAAACAAGGTGAATACAACCCTTACAGATTTACTTACAGATTTATTCATTTGTGTGTTAAATAAATGTTTTTAAAACATGAAACAGAGTAGTTGTAGGCAAGACTGAAGCCATAGAAAAATGCGTGTCATAGATTTGTGTTACCTCTAGATGCCTGGTGTATGATACATTTTGATTAGTGAGAATAAATAATATGGATCTAAAGAATATCTAGCATGATCTTAAACATACATCTTATATGAAGATCATTCGACAATTGGGTCATTTGCTTGACAGTGTTCCTTTCGTCTTACTAATAGGCACCACAAGGCCACATAAGGAGGGGGAAGTCCCTGGTGTGGACTATATTTTCATCACAGTTGAAGATTTTATGGAATTGGAGAAAAGTGGTGCTCTCTTAGAAAGTGGAACATATGAAGGTAAGCACACTTTTACTGCTGAATTTGTCTCATGTTTCCATTATGTCTTTTTCTAATTTGATGGAATTGCGCTAGGACATCCCATTACAAATGTGTCGTTGTTACTGTTGTCAGAAATTTGTGAAGAGCCATGTGGCAATTATGAAAATATTTTCATATGCAAAAGCCAAATACAGATGGATTCATTGTAATTTTAGTATATTATAATGGTTAAGACAAACAGGATAATACATTGCACTTAGAGAAAAGAAATATTAGTTCTTTATGCAAAATACTTGAGATTTTTGCAAAATTTCAGCAAACAGCTGAAATAATGTATAACATGGAAAAAAAAAACTCTGCAACAAATAATTTGTAAGGCTGACACTTTTCCTTTGCATGTGTGAACCTGCAAATACTAATCTACATCAGAGGTTGAAACTTCACTATGTGTGAGTAAAACAGGAAGGATTTGCTGTGTCATGTCTTATGGGCTTTGTAAAGTTATTGAAAAGAACTCACCAATTTTGTAATATGACAGGGGGATAGGAACTGCCCTAATGACTGTATTAGAAAATGTCTGTATATGGGGCAAAGAGCCAGGAACTTACTGCAGAACAGTGCTTCTCAGGAGAACTGATGATTCATCTGATTTTAAACCTTGTCCAAAACACAGCTATCCTGAAAGTGAAACTACTATATAAAGAAAGGCAGTTACATAGCAGATCATTTTAATAAAACCAGAATAATACTATACTATTTTAAACCAGATGATGCTTAGAAATAAACTAATATTTAATATAACTGAGTAGTGGATAGGTCTTTTTTACTGTAATCTTCAAAATGACAGGCAACCTCCTTTATATGAAAAATACGACCCATGCATGTGAGAATACCTGATGAGTAGAGCCATTTACAGGAAGCAGATCCAGATTTTTACCTTACAACAAAAGAAGCAATGAAGACCTTTTTGTCCTGACTTTGTCCCTGTCAAGGAAAGCATCTGAAGATAAATAAGAAGCTATTCACCCCAGAGAAAATCATTAGCTCTGTTATAAATAGCAGGAACGAAGGTAATCCTTTCTCACCTGATCAGCACAAAGTACCCATTGGAAAGTAAATAAATTTTCATTAAGAGTTATATCAATACAGAACTTCTAACAGAGATTTTCACTAACGAAGGTCAAATAAAAGAAAATATATCGTCTTCTCCTTTTCTACTTTTTCCCTCACTGTCTGGTACCTAATGGTAAAAGTTACATAAACATTAATAAAAGTACAACACTACAATTTTACGTTTATCAGAGATTCATTAACTAGCAAGTCTTTCTTGAAGTGTTTTTTTGTTACCTTCGGTATTTCAAAGTAACATTAAAGGAGCTTAAGCAAAGCACAAGTCTGTCATTGTTTGACCATGTAATTTCATTAATTTGTAGCAAGTTTGTAGAGATTGAACTGCTAGGTTAAATTAATTCACAGTGTTCTTCTGTCCCTCGAGGGATACTGAAAAGTGTCTTTTAATACCAGTTACCAGAGCTGAGCAGACAGCAAGGTGAAATACTCGTTGAAGAGGTCTGCGTAACAACTTAAACTGGCTAAGGACCTAGCTGAAGAGAGGTCCAAAGTCATGACTATGCAATGTCTGTCACATCATTTGCTGATCACAGATGACAAGTTCACTGAAGCCAAGTCAAAAACTAAATGCAAACCAGAATAAACTCAACAGACCAATTTCTGCATAAATTTCTGCATAAATCCTGTCTTTGATTCTTAGGTTTTCCAATCACAAGTGCCTTCTAACAAGTAATACGTAATATATAGCCACTATATACCAGTTTGTCTCTACCTTAAAAATGTTTTAAAGAAGAGATTTCTCATTTAGTTGAGATAATAAGATAGACTCTGCTTGTGTGTTGTTTTTCACCACTTCTTGACTAGAAGCGTTGATGCAGTCAGTTTACCTTCTACTGTATGAATTCCAGAGAATCAGAAACGTCCAGGTAAACCAGAGGGGAAGGAGGCCAAGTGGAGGCTTACCTGACACTGAGTCTTTGTTTTGTTCATTATAGTATTCAATATTGTTGGGAGGGGATATTTTCTTACGTTAATGAGAAAAATCGGTGAAAACCATCAGAAACTCTTTGTTCTTTTGCAGGCAAACAATAGCTGTGATTCTGTCCTGGACAGGATATAATCTAAAAGCAAAACCAGTATATACTCTTGGTATGGTTCTACAGATCTTTTTTTTTCCTAAGCATACATTATTTTTTGAGCTTCAAAATAGATTTTTTTAATTTATAAAAGTTACATATAAATTATATATAAACTTAAAATTTTAAGTTCACAGCCTCATAATTAAAATTAGGATGCTCTGTGACCTCCTTACTACTTAACACTTTGAATATGCCTCTCTTTGTCTACCACTTTTGTGACAACTGAGAATGACTGTAGTATCCTGACGTGCTGCAGAAAAGTAGCAGTGTGTTCATGATAAATATTACAAATTTTTTTTTACCCATTTTGCAAATATGAAAATATTTAGTTTCAGTAGGACTAAATGCTTTACTATTTTGTCCTTTTCTATTTGAGCCTTTTTGAGCAACTGCCTGAAAGACCAAGCTATCTTTATAGATATTAATTATTTAACCACAAGTAATGGTACATGAAAAGTTGCTGCACGTTTTGCAGCTTACCTCTGGTAAAGTTCTGTGGCGATTTAGCTGACACTATTCAATGCAGAGCAAGAGAAGGAAGAGTGCAAGGCTTACTTTCACTCTCACTCAAATTAACAGTCCCAGGCCCATTAGTTCCAGTGAGATTGTCATTGAATTCTGGATTTGTGATAAAATTTCAGTGAATTCCACCAATGCGTTGCTACTTGGGGCAGGGAACATTTGCCTGAAGCACTCCAAATTAATTTATTTGGAGGTCTTTGTTTAATAACACAGCCAAATCCTAAAGCTTTTGCTTTGTTTCTTTTTAGTAGAATTCCGATTTACTGTGTTGATTAAAGCAATTCTCATTTGGCCCAGAATAAAACTTGTTCCTAACAGAGATATTGGAGTGAGGTAAAATAGCCATAGTTCTGTACCAGAGGAGGAAGCCTCCCTGTGCAGCGTGAAAGGCACCTGCCTCTGTTGTGTAGACTCATATAGCACAGGAGGACGTGCCTCAGCAAAATAATCCACATTCCTTCTGAAATGAAGTTCATAGGTGTTCTTTGAATTGGTATATTCTGTAAAATGCAGACTAACAAAGCTCTGATGAGCAGACAAGTTGTGTGTATATTTGTGTGCTGTCTTTCATGACTTCTCTGGCAGGAGCGTTGTCTCAGTACCGTGTCATCTCTCTGATGTGTCAAAACTTGTGTGAGGACTTCATGGATCACTGGCTTCAAAGGCTGTTCCCATCTCCTTATTAGATCAGCAAAATTTCTCAGCCAGTGCAGAATTATCAGTAGACTGAATATGTACTTGAAATGTGAATCAGTTAAGAATGCCAATGCTCATAAACAGAAATGTAACAGGTTAATATTATTTCCAAACCCCAGATATGTTAGGGCACATAACTGAAGGTTATAGTAAGACATCATTATGAAATGTTAATAATGTAAGAGTGTAAGAGTGATGCATGCTGTGGGTCGAATTGCTCTTTAAAAGTAACATATGCAATGGCAGCACCAAATATACAAAGAATTGTTCTGTTTATAAATACTGTGAAGCAAGAGAGATGGTATCAGTGTGGGACTCTGTAAGAAATGCAGATCTATAAAAAGCTTGTTCATGACTGTTAAAGATGGCAAAATTATGAAAATAAGTTCATTCAATCAGTACACCTATGAATAATGTAGTAAGTAGAACTCTCTTTTTTTCTATGAAATTTGTTTGCCTCAGAAGAGCTCCGTAACAGCTATCTTATAAAAGACTTCTTATTTACTATTAATATAAGAATAGTCCTTAATTTATCCCATAAAAACCAGTCATTTTAGTTATTATGTCATTAATTTTGCCCCCAAAGCACTTTTTATAATTTGTTTGATTATTTGGAATTATCTCAAATACGTTTACTGGTTAAAATTCAAAGCTTACTGAACTTATGTGATCATGGACTTCCCTTGGCCCCACTGAAGTCTGTGGTAAAATTCCAGGTGGCTTCAATGGAAACAGAATTTCACTATTTATTTTTTTGTTAACAAATAGAGTATCATTTGGCAGAAGTCTTTTTAAAAAAAGGTTGAATACATGCCATCAGTAAATTGTTTATTCGGGGACATAAAACTTACCATTATTTTAGAAGCCGTTTTAAGGGGGCAGCTTCCATGTTTTCAGTTGAGTCACCACTATGCTGAGCTCCCATGGGAAAGTGAATGTGGGCTGAAGCTGAGTCTTAACTGTGGCGCTTCCCACACACCAGCACATAAGCGACACCAGGAGGTGCTCCAGTTCCATCCTCCTGGAGACACTCACACCCAAGAAGCCATTAAGTTTTACGTAGGCTTTCATTCCATCTCTCATGCCAGTTTTAGCCTAAAACCTTCTAAACGATTTAAACTCTTCTGTTCAGCTAATGCATTTTCAATTAACATTTCATTTTATTATCTGTAAATTTAAAATATGAGTTAAGGACTGCTCCACATAGGCAATGGAGTATTTAATTATTGCATTGTGGTGACAATGGTTTTATAAAGAGGTGGTGTTTGATTCCAGTAGTTTTGATTCCATTCTTCCATGTAAAAAACTGTAAGGAATTCAAAATTCCACCCACTTGCTGTATGCGGAATTCCCTTATGATCTTTACATCCTGAGCACTCTACATCAGAGGGATAGAAAGGAAATGAATCAAAATAAAGATAATAAAATACTACCCTCCTAAGACCTAAACACAGTAGTTAATGAAATATTCTGATTTAAAATGGAAGACAAAAGAATCATGAGGGTAGATGTATACAGATAAAAATAGAAACAGTCCTTCAAAAGCCATGTCTTTTAGAAGCAGAAAGTGTTTTCAAGGGCATAGACAAA